ATATAGTATATACTATATATAACTACTATATAGTTATAGTAAATGTCCTCCCATGACCCAAAACTCAGCATATAACGGGCTATTGCCTGCTTTATGGTGACTGCGCAGAGCCACACTATTGTTGGGATCCACCCCGCCACCTGATTGACAGCTGGCTCTGCCTCTTTAGAGGCAGAGCCAGCTGTGCACGCTCCCTCTCCTATCTGTCCCTCCAGTCAGCACTGGAGGAATGGAGAGGGGAGGGTGGAATCCCTGCGGGGAGTGGTGGCTAACAGTCACCGCTCTCTGCAGGGAGAAGATTGGGAACTGACCGATCAGCAGTATTGGGATGTGATGTATAGTTCTCGTTCAATAGAGCCAACGTGTGACATCTTTAGTGTCACATGCCAGCTCTAATTATGGGGATAAGTGTATTTCTTTCTCCACATAATTCTCCTTTACAGTTAAGGCTCAAAAATATATTTTATTAAAGGAGAACTATGGGGTCAGGGCTTTTCCCCATAGTTCTCCTAAGGGTAATGGGAAGACACAAACTAGCGTCCTCCCATCACCCAAAGCTCAGTATACCGCGAGATACAGCTCACGGTTTACTGAGACGCCGTAGCTGGGACAGATCCCGACATTACTGTCGAGATCTACCCAGCTGCGTGATTGACAGACTCCTATCTAGAGGCAGAGCCAGTTGTACCCGCCCCCTCCCCGTCCATTCCGCAAGTCAGCGCTGGAGGATCGGACAGGGGAGGGGGGGAATCCCTGCAGAGAGCCGTGAGTGACAGTCACAGCTCTCTACAGGGACAGGATTGAGAAGTGAGCAAGCGACAGTATGCGTTCGCTCACTTCCCGATCTATTGAGCCGACCTGTGACAGTTTCATTGTCACAGGTCGGCTAGAACTTTGAGACTGAGTGATTTTCACTCACCTCATAGTTATCCTTTAACACAAAACTTTTTTTTTTCAAAGCTCTGGTCTTTTTGCGGAGACTCTGTAGTTTAATTCAGTTAGTATCTACAGCAATGAAAATGTAAGCATTATTACATCAGATTGGGGGCTGGCAATGGGTGAATCACAATCTACCTAATATGTAATGCAGAGTTCAGAGATCAGTAGTATGTAAGGCAGAGTGCAGGGGTCAGACTGATGTAACTCAGAGTGCAGAGATCAGGAGTAACTAAGAGTTCAGGAGTCACCAGTATGTAACACAGGGTTGAGGAGTAAGGGATGCAGAGTGCAGAGGTCAGGAGTTTGTAATGCAGAATGAAGGGTTCAGTAGTATCTAATGCAGAGTTCAGAATGCAGGGTGCACTACAAGTGGAAGTGTGTACTCCTCTCTGTCTGCTCTGTCAGTGGGGGCCCGGGGGCCACACACTCCACAGAACACTCCCTGCTCCCTCAGTCACTTTCAGTAACCAAGAAATCCCGCCAGCCAATTAAATTCCAGTGTAAGAGCCGCCAGCCAATGAGGCACACCCAGCAAGATGGGACATTGCATGGCCAGGGTAAGTGGTGGCCACGCTGCCAGGGTACATATCAAGGGACTCAGGGTTGGTCAGATTGGGTGATTAGGGCCAGCATTGCAGGATCGCGATCTGTCCATTACTTGGCACGGATCGCATTATACTGCAGATATCAGAATCATAGATGAAACACAGTATTTACTTGTACACTATAACTTATTTTGAAAATTATGTTTCTACTTGAAAGTAGGACAAATGCATGTAAATGACTATAAGAAGTTACAGTTTAAAAATACTGTAGACAAATTCCTAAGAAAATGAAAAATAAAAATGTTAACACTGTACCTGCCAGCTTGTAGCACACCAGATATACTGAAGAGGCCAAAATCTGTGATTACCACTTTTCCATTGTCATAGAAAACATTTTTTGATTTGAGGTCCCTATGTAGAATGCCCTTAGCGTGAAGATATCCCATTCCCTAAAATGGATAGATAAGTATGATAAAATCATTAGGTTTGTCATACAATTTTTACAAAAAATGTTTGTGTACAATCTAGTATAGGACCACCTGTGGCCGAAGATCATGTGTGAAACAGCTGATTAGTAGTGGAGACCCTGGTCTCTCAAATGAAAGCAAGGCTGAACACATCACCATAGTAGCTCATGTACTTTAGCAGACAGTGATTGAAACACATAACATTTCCTATCTCCACCAACCCCTGTCTCAGCAATGATCCTGCTGATTCATATATCCGATTCGCAGCACAGGGGATCATAAGTCAAAACTGCTTTACAGTTGTTATTGTTCTTTAATCAGACCTTACAGAATGTAGATGCACTCACTCAATTATTGTGCAGATGGTGGTTAGAAATATATGAACTGCTTGCCAGTGCAGATATATTATGTGGTGATAAGGCTGACAATTCTGAGAGATGCTCACAGGGAAAAATAACTAGTTTTGTTCTATTAACTACAGGTATGTATTTGCAAATCCTGCTGAACTTCTAAGTACAGGGAAACAAAATGTGAGTATGTGTGGGAGAAACAGAGAAGTTATAAGTGTATCTAAAATTCAAGAACAAAATTGTAATATCTTGCAGCATAGAATGGCTACTCTAACTCCTCCACTGTATCTATGGTAGAGCAGTGTAACCGCCCTTGGTCAGTAGCACTGTTACCCTGTGGATACAGTAGTGTTAGATGGTGTAGTAACTAGATGGACATTACATCAGTGACTAACAAAGCCTTCTTCCAGCTAACACTTTATAGGCAGTTACAGCAAGTTGTTTTTTTAACTTTTGAAATAAAAGCTGACCATTGAATACACCCCTGTCAATGTTAAATGTTTTTTTAATTGCCACTTATGCTGGATAGTTTGGTCTGCTAAAGGAAGATGAAAAATAACAGACTTTACTGGCAGGATCAACAGGTAATATAACAATGCTAATTGGAAGCACGGGGAAAGGGGGGGTGGGGTTGGGCAGTAATGCTAGTGACAGACTGAATCATATATATAATTTCTGTTTTGCCCATAGTTACACTTTAAAGTGTAATCTTGCAGATAACACCTCGGACAGACTCATATATGTACACTTCAGTCACGTACCAAAAAGGCATGATACAATAAAGGTTTTTGAAAATAGGCTCCAACTATAGCTGGCTTGTTGTACCCAATAAAATTATAGGAAAATTCACCAGTTATGTGACCAAAGGGGGAACAAGTACAAAGAAAGTCATAAGTCACCATGGCATTTTACATTTGTTTCCAGTCAAGAATTAAAGTATCTCTAAAGTTTTTCTTTACATTTTTATTGAGATAAACATGAAAAAAAAACAATACATCAATTAACAATGTATATCAAGATGCATAGACAAAGTCATATCACTATCAGTAAGGCCTGGTTCACACCTGGGCATTTTACAGCTCGTTCCTCAACATGTGAAAACCAATAATTGCCTACGGGCATGGTTCCCTGGGCGTTTTACAGCGCGTAGGACCCAGCCTTAGGGGAAAGAAAGTTAGGAAGAAGGTGCATATAAAAATGAACAGAGTATTCCAACAGAAGTAACAACATGGACGAGGTTATATTGATGCAAAAGAAGTGTAGATAATACACTGCGTAATACTGCGTAAAAGAGGGACACATAGTAAACAGAAGAGAAGACATGCTCCATCCCTGAGAGAATTATAGTGAGACGGCTGGGGGTGCATAGACTAACGAAGGGTAGCAACTGGGGCTATAAGAGTACAGAGGGAGAAAAGAAGAGAAAGAGGCAAGAAAAGGGGAAGAAGATTGAGAGAAGGGTAGCAAGTAAGGGAGACAGAGAACCAGGGAATAGCCAGAAAAAGATAGACGGCTTGTGACCCTCAAGGGTAATATATTAAACAGTAAGCAAATGGCATCAAATTTGCACATAGTATTTGTCGGTTTGGCCAACCTTTTCTCGTTAATTATAACCCAGGTAACGTGTCTCTTTACTGCAGAGGCACTTAGGCTAGGTGGTTTCCAGGATTCCACAACCCCTCATTTCATGGCTGTGAGCACATGCAAGAGAAGTTTAAAATGTATTAAATGGAAGGGTGTTGGGTTCCCTTTTGATAAAAGCAAAGGCTGGGTCTTAAGTGAGCGGTTTGCCAACCAGGACAGCAAGGACACGGAAAATCCATTCCCAAAATTATGAAGCGATCGCACAGTGCCACCAGGTATGTATTTAGCAGCCTTGTTTATCACATCTTACAAAGCAAAGTGGAGAGTAGTTCGGGGCATAAGTAGCTATGTGTGTAGCCGGGGCGTAACTATAAATCACAGGGCTCCATAGAAATTTTTTTATGGGGCCCTCTGATTTCTAGTTATGCCCCTTGCAGAGCCCCCCTGAGATCCCACACAGAGTAACCCTTCAGAGCCCACCAAAGGGCTCTGCAGGGTCTTAGTTGGGTTGGTCATACCCTTGCACACCTCTTACCTGTCTGTGCTGATGTGCTGTAAACCTCCTCCACCGCCGGGCCCTGTCTCTTCCACGGTCGCCGGTGGGCCGGGCCTCCTTCTCCGTCGCCGGGCCCCGCCTCCTACACTACCATGTAGGCTTAAAGGGTTAAAATCCCTGCATTTTTTTTTCTTTTTTGCTATCCATGGAGTGTTCTCTTTATTTTCTGTTCTCTAGACTAAACAGTATCTGAGAGAAAATCTGTGCAAAGTGAAGACAATGCCAGTGGAAAAATGTGTCTATTGGAAAATATTGCTTTTTATTATTATTGTATCTTCCTAATGGAGACACAGGCAGCACTAAACACCTGACAGAGGTTCTAACCCTTTCCCATGACATCCCCAAAAAAAAGGGCTTTAGACACACCATAACTTAGAGTATTTTATAAACACCACTGTACATCATTGTGATGGCGTATACATATATAAGACAAATTTAGAATTGTCGACGAATGGGACTTTTAAATGCCATATATGACTGCAGTCTTAGACTTAACTTTAGTAAATCATTTGCAGTACTGTTAGGGTTGGATAACATGATCTTATCTACGTAAACCTATTGTATACAATGATCTAGAATTACCACTAATAATTAAAAACATTTCTAATAATGTGTACCACTTTCCTGTCCATTGTGTGGTAACAATAAGGTACATTATTTTGCAGAAAGAAGTAAAGTCATAAAAAGTGCACTGGAAATTAAGCAGATTTATAAATATAATCAGCTTTCAACAAGTTCAAGTTCCTCTGCAATGGCTATTAGAGGGTACCATACCATTGTATACAACTATGTTTCCTAAATGGTCATATAGTATCATTAAGAATGTTAATATTTTTAGTACACATGACTGACTTTTCACGTTACAGTGTAAAACTGATTTGCTATTAGAAGGCAACTGTAATCATGCCACTGTTTACAGACAGGGGAGGGTGCCTGTTGACTATATCAACAAGGATCTCTACCACTATAGATAACCATTTCAGCTGTATATGTGATACTGCAATTGCAGAGCTCCATTAAGGCTCACTCTCCCCTACTGTCTACATTTTCTCAAATCCCCTACATAGTACAAGAGGGCTATCATGTCACACCTAGAAAGCTGCCATCCAATAAGGAAACTGACTTCTTCAAAATGTCTACTAGAAGCCACCAAAACCTCCTCAATATTTGTACTAGTACGGCATAATGATCAGGATTAAGGTACGGTAGTTCAACTACCTTGTGCAGCAACACATTTTTAAAAAGAACTAGTTATCCTTTAAGAACATATTCAGCCTGTCTCTGACAAGTTCCAGGGCTCAGTGGAAAAAGAAGCATTCTCTTCCACAATTTCCCTAAATTCCATTAAAGGTCTTGGTTCTTTAACCCCTTCGTGACGGGAGACGTACAGTGTACGTCTTGTCACTTTGTGCCTATATGACTGGCCACGTACACTGTACGTGACGAGTTATATCAGGCTTTGTAATGCCGGTATTTGCTGATTCTCAGCATTTAACAGTCATTCATTAATGTCTCAGTATTGAGGCATTAATTAATGAAATAATTAAGCTTTTTGTAAAAGCTTCTTCCTTTCATTAATGAAAGAATGAAGCCGTTACATGCAAATAGAGGACCGCAATTTGCGATCCCGTATTTGACAGCTCAAAATAGCAGAGAGGCAGCAGTGACTCACCTCACCTCTCTGCTATTTGTTTTGACAGCTCGAGAGCCCGATGTTTAGATACATTTCACTGAAAGGATACAATGTATATCTTTTGAGTGAAATGTATCATTTCTGATCGTCTAGGCACGATCAAAGAGCTTTTAGTGAGATCTGAATCTGACTAAAGTCAGGATCAGTCTCTAAGGTTATTATTAGCTGTTCCTAAGTTTGGATCAGCCTAATAGCCAAAAATAAAATAAAAAAGTTAATTTATCAAGCTGTCATAGTGATTGCTTGATATAAACTGACAAGAAAAAAAAAAGTTTTTTTATTTTATTTTTATTTTTTTTACAAAGTGTAAAAAAATTAAAATAAAGTGTAAAACAAAATTAGGAAAATATAAATTATATATAAATATATTTTTTATACTATAATTAATATAAAAAAATTCAAAAAAAAAATAATAATAATCAAAACTTGTGAAAAAAGTGTTTTCTTCTAGTTTTTTTCCTCATTTTTTTATTTTATTCAAACTAAGTGAGGGGTTAGGTACACATATGTGATATAATTATATAGCCCTATCTGTCCTCTAAAAAACAATATATAATATGTGTGGGTACATTTAGTAAGAAAGTATATTACTGACGTGGAAGAACCACACAGCAAAAATGTAAAAAATGTGTCAGTCATTTATGAACAGAACCTGAAAACTAGCTCAGTCATGAAGGGGTTAAAGGAATGATAATTATGGAGACATGGGGTTTACTAAAGACAAACAAGCAGTTCATTTTGCAAGGGAATTTGTACTTTTCATGTAAAGTTTCCACTTAGCTTACTGAATGAGGTGAAG